GCATCGTTGGAAGTTTATCAACGGCACCGCCATACAATATGGCAGCGTCAACACACGATCAACATCATCTCAGTGGTGGGGTGGGGCTGGGAGCCCAGCCCACCAAGAAAAGTCCCGATTCCAAGTGAAAAGAGACCTCCCTACTGAAACTTTCATCGACATCCTCTCCTCTGCTGCAAGTTTGCAACTTGGTACAAGGCAGGTTTGCTCAGCGTGCAATGGCATCAAGGCCCCACTGTGTGCCTTTGGGGAAACAAGCATTTTTGCATCTTGGAGAATCGCTTGGTGAGCGTTGTGGCAGGGGTTGGCGGAAAACATCACATTTGCGGCTTCCAGAGGAGCAAACGGCCGGCGGTTGTCTTTTGGCGGGCGGGGTCTAGACCAAGTCCAGACTAGGCGACGAAAGTGTGGAGCGACCGGGGTGCTGGATCTGGACTGTCAATCGGAGAGCAAAGGCAAGAAGTTGATGAAGGATGCAGGAGACGGAAGTGGCTCCGCAGGCGGCTTCCGGCCCGGGCGTAGGTGGATGCGGCCCGATCTGGCGCCAGCATCTGGCGGGGCCATCCGGTAGAGCATCTTTTGGACGTGATCATCCACCCCACCTTCTCAGACGGGACCACCTTCATCGTCTGAGACTTTTCTTGGCTACGACCAGATCTGGCGCTGAATCTGGCGCTAGTACCTTGGGGTTAATAACGTATCTTTCTCATCCACTTCTGTTTTTGACGACTAGCGCAACTCTGGTTGTAGCAGTAGAAACTGTTGCACCGCTTTTGACCCTTCCAACAGGGGTTAGACACTGCACTGGGAATCACGAACTCCGTCGTTGCAGCCAAGACCGGCTTCCAAAAATGGAACTGTGTTTCTGGCGCGTTGGAAGCTGATTGCTCCCGTCGAAAGGATACGGCACACAAAGACCAATTTTAGGCCGCCGTAGAAGCCCATGATTGTTGCTTCTCAAAAGTAGGAAATGAAACTTATCTTCTAGTTCATCGTTTAAGACTGTCCGAGCATATGGTTGTTTCGTCTTCTTGCTCGACAACCATATGGCAGGTCCCTTGTTTGTCGTGATTGCAACATCTGCCAAGCGTTCTGATGGCAACGTTTCGTCGTAGTAACGTACCTGGACGGTCCAATTTCGCCTGTGGATGTTGAATGAGAAAATCAATAGGTACTGCACAGTAGTATTAATTGACGTAACGAACGAAATCCAAATTGAATAGCCAAAAGCCAACCTGAATCATGGAAGGTAAAGTTGGTCTCTATGTACATCCCGACTCAGTCAGATCAGCCTAGTCACACGCTATTGCTCCTGCTTCTAGAATTGGCTAGAGATGGGCCCGTGGCTACATAGCGCTGGGATGGTGTTCGAACCACGGATCAGCTTTACCATTCTGTGCATCTCTTGGCTATCCATGCTCAAGTCCCAAGCTATATCTGCCAGAAGTCTGCTTTCCGC